TTCCGTGCAGAGAGAATTATCGAATTATCGCATTGGTTACGCTTTAATTAGCAAATTCGCAGGCTGATAAGCTTATTTGTGAAAAATCAACGCGGATACTTTATACTCGAGCGAAAGTACGAGCGGAATGGCCTGAATTGTGCTGGGGAAATTTACGTACGAATTAGAATGTACAATTCGAGGTCTGTAATTAGTCAGATATAAACCGAAACGGTTCCGTTTGGCAACGATAAGAATGAAATATATCCCGTAATTATGTCAAAGTGATAATTACTCTTATTTGCTATTTGAATTCTGAGGGAACTATTGATTTATGTTTAGCTCGAGTTTCAGGAGATTGTTGCTTGAAAGTTTAAGTTTTAAGTAAAATTCGTGCATTGAAATAGAATATAGAAAAATTCATGCGTTGAAATAAAATATAGTACAATTCGTGAGATTAGCAAGAGTTATATCGATCCTCGTTATCACTGTAATATTTAATTTATTTATTTACAGCAGAAAGAATGAGTGGAATAACGAGAAGGATGTCACAGAGAAGAAGAAGAGAAGAGATAAATGATCAAATATGAAAAATATCCAACAAACTTGGCCATAATTGAGTTATAATTAGATAATTCTATTTTGTCGTATACTAAAATACGTTATTAATTATTCAAGAAAAGAAAGTGTACATCTTCTAATGCACAAATATACTCGCGTCCCGTAGCGATCTACAGTTTCATTCGCGAGTATAATTAGCGGGCAAAGCTTTTCCAACCAACGCGAACGTAATTCTCCATGCAAGGATAAAAAAGAAAAAACCGATGGAGATATGTCTAGAAGCCCCGCGGCACAATTCGCCGAATATTGCTATCGATTAACAATTTTTCTCGTGAATCAAGCTATCCGTTTCACGAAAGTCGTCCAAAATATTACCTCGAAGGTACAATGACTTGCTGAAAGCTCTCGTCTCTCTCGGCGAAGATGAAATATTCGGCTGCAGCCCCTCTCATTTTCCTCTGGCCCTATCTCGGTTTTCGATTATAGAATCCATATAACCAGCGCGGGAATTGACGGAGGCGAGCCCTCTTTCTGCAGTCTCATGTAAATCGATAGCACATCGTTGAAAATTGCAAAAAGCTTCCGCCATTAAGAAAAAAAAAGAGGGAAAATGAAAAAGCAGAAAGATGGAAATGGAGTGAAACGTTGGCTCGGTCGAAAAGCGACAGGACAAAGGGGAAGGAGTAAGAAGAAAATGGGATCGGACGAGAAGGAGCGAATGAAAATCGCGGACAGAACCAAGAAGTTATTAAATAAAAAATAAATATGTTTCTCTGCGTGAAATCATAAGAAGTAAAAAGATAAACGGAAGGATGAAAGAGAAAGAATGTGAAAGAGAGAAATTAGAGCGCAGCGCAAATAGATTGGCGCAGACAGAAAAGGAATAATAAAGAATGAACGCAGTGTCACTATAAGGGTTGTATAGAAATCTGTGAGACAATGGTCAAAGTCGAGAGTGAATAATTAACCGAAGTAGGATAGAAGATTGAAGAACAAAACCGAGAAAAAGAATATCTTCAAGGATTCGTCGTTCATACAACACACGCTATTTATTTTATCTATTCTGTGGTATCACAGAAAAATAACCTATTCAAATTCGAGTTGCTGTGTTAGACGCTAACTTGTGTAAAATTTCAGTCTCCTATGTTAAACTGTTTGCAAGATAATAAATGTCAGATTGTTGAAAAATTGAGTAAAATAATAATTGTGGAAGCGATAGAATGTCTGTGAGTGGTCAGTCTGGAGCGATGGTTGCGCGAACGAAGGATGCTTCAGCCAGAGCTATAGAAATGTGAAAGAAGAGTGTTTGGGACAGAGTACTCGAAAATATCCTGCGAACGAAGGATGCGTGGCCATCCAAGGATTTCGGTGGACGTGACCGAATGGTTAAGAATGCCTGCCCAGAGTGAAAGGCATAGAAAAATAGAGAAATAGAGAATAAGGGTGAAAGAGGAGCTCGCGAGAAAACGAGAACAAATAATATTGCGAGAGAAATTGACAAACTTATTTAAACAAATTTCTCATTATTCCTCAAATTACCGATTGTAGGTAAAATCCCAAAATCCGTACATTACGCAAGAAAGGGTGAAAGAGGAGCTCGCGAGACAGTTGTGTGAAGAATATTACGAGAGAAATTGAGAAACTTATTTAAATAAATTTTTTATTACTCCTCAAATTACCGATTGTAGGTAAAATCCCAAAATCCGTACATTACGCAAATCGAGACTAATCTCGCTAGAAAAGTGACAGAGGAGTGGAGGAGCGGCGTTGAAAGCGAGACGGCGGAAAAATTGACGTCGCTTATCGGTACCGAACGTTTCGAAACAAACGATTCTGAAACGAGAGAGAGATCCACCCTTTCAATTCCATTTCTCAGCCAACTCGGTTTCGTACTCGTCCGTTTTCGCCGCTCGAGCCTCGACCAAGCAGGCGGAGAAACGTAGATAAAGGTTTTAATTCCGTGCGAATGGATCAACGCGCGAAAATCGGACGGGTGGATCGAACGAGGCAACGTACCGTTGTGGGAATTGCACAGAGAGGCGGCGGATGGGAGGTGGGACTCGATTGATAGACCGGCTGAAACAATGGTTAACTTCGCAAGTAATCGCTTAATTCCGCGGATTCCCAGGCTACGTCCAGCCGATTTCCGATTGAACTGTCTTCCGGACTCTTTTTTTTCCCCCCCTCTATCCTGTTGATCGAATCGATAGCTTCGGGACAATTGGACACGCACGCGCGGGTAATAAGCAACCAGCGTTTTGACGCGCTTCTCTTGGCAATGGTAGACTCGATAAGCTGGATTTTAGGCGGCATTTTTCCACTTTTTTTTTTCATTTCTCGATCGTACCGGTTGCAATTTAGGAGATTTCAAATTTTCTTACGATTTATTTGTTGCAGAAATTAGTTTGGATTTAGTAGGTGTACGGGTTAATTCGGTGTCTTTTGTCAAAAAGTCTGGATGACTTCATCGACTCAAAAGCGCCATACCTTTTCGAAGAGAGAATTCATCGGTTGGTCGATAAATGGGAAAAAGTCGTTCAACATAACGGAGATCATTCTGAATATTAAAACTGTACTTGATTTTTTGTAAATAAGCACTGAAGTTTGCGAAAGAAGGCACCGAATTAATTTGTACACCTAATAGTTGTTCGTAGTGCGGTGATTTTTTGTATTTAACTTGATCACGATTGGTACTTGTTTCTTTCGATTCTATTCTTTCGAAAATTGCACCGAGTATTATTTAGGTATTGAATTTATTTAAGGAGATCATATAATAAGAAATATCAGAGTTTTCAGGGAGGAAAGAAAATGATTTTCTAGTTCAAACAAATATTACCCTTAGATTCGCCAATAGTAACTCACCAAGGATCGAGTGAACTCTAAAATAACACGAAAAAATTCAGAATTTTTCAACACTCAAGTAATCACTCAAGCGATCAATTCGCGAATCATTAGAAATAACTCACCAAGGATAGAATGAACTCTGAAATAACGCGAAAAAATTCAGAATTTCCCAACACTCGACTAATCACTCGAGCGATCAATTCGTGAATCGTCAGAAATTCCACATTATCTCATATCACACGATTTAATATATCCTTCCTCCACCAATTTCCAGGGACTCGTCATCGATAGTTATCGATTAACGATGCTGGTGAATCGTTACGAGTTACTCCTCTGGCGATTGATTGCGAAAATTTCCCCGAGCGTTGCACCGCTATGCGCCAATAGCTTTCCCCCTTATTTTCCCGTGGAGCCTGGCCATCTAACGATATAAAGGTGGCCGCGAAATAAGGCGAAAGAAAGCAAACAATGCCCGCCGGCACGCTGAATGACTCACTTTGTTGCTTCCACTGCGAAACTTTCCTCGTCGAGGTACTTTTAAGGAAGTTCCGAAGAACAGTAACGGCAATCATTGGCGAAGAAACGGTCGATTTGTTCTTCCTCGCTTGGCCGAGTACTCGTCGAGCTTTTTCACTCGGCTATCGCCTTTTCCTGTGCTGCTGCTTGAAAGCGCGACGACATTTTTACGGGACGATTTTCCTATGCGACTAATCCATTCGGACGTTCGAAAATTCTACTCGAGCACAATTAAACCAACGGAAACGAACAATATGAAGTTTAAACGGCAAGCTGAATCTTCTGTGTATGATTGATGAAGGATCAATTTCAAACATGATTTACGAATAAGAAATGAATTCTCGAGGAAATTTATTGGAAGCTGTATTCTTCAGTTTCAAACCACTTATTCTTTATTGTCCTCATCGCTCACTGTCGAAACTGAAGAATAGCACCGATTTGAGAAGCTTCAGAAATAAAGAACGTGCTGCAAGATATTTGCATACTCCATATTAGGACGATTTAACTCTCTTATTTCTCTATTTAACAGTGAAAATCTTCAACGAATCTTGTCGTGTCCTCAAACCCCAAACATTGACGCGACCGACGACCCCCCACGTTGACCTACGGCGCTCCGGTATATACCTGCCAATAGAAGCTCGCGAAAGGGCCTTACTTCGGAAACGGCGTTGATTGACCCTTTCCTCGAACCTGCAGCTACGGAAAAATATATATAAGCAGCCCTGTTTAACATAGAATCAGTCAAAAAAAAAAGGAGCCTTGTAACAAGAAGCCGAACCACGGCCAACAAGAACGCTAAACATTTACATAGAAACCTTCATCCCATTCCGCATTGGGTTGAAAAAAGACCGTGACCACAGAGTTCTATTCCACGAATTAATATCTTTTAATGTTCAGTAGTAGAGTGGTGAATATTTCCGACGTTTAAATTAGCAATATTGACTTATCTTAAGTTATCAATAATTTTCTTTTCGTGGATGCTGCTATGAGAAATTGTAAAAGTTTCAGGACTTAGGGTGAACAAGGGTTAGGGTTAATTTCCTTCTCGCGATAGATAGAATTTTTGGCGGATCAAAAGCACGGAGAATTGATTTACTCACGTGTTCTGTGTTTATAGCAGCACCGTTACGAATATCTTGATGATCGGCACCAGAACCATTGACCATACCAGAACCGGCGCCAGCACTTCCGCTTCCCTTTCCACCGACACCGCCAGCTGGTGTTTGTGGCAAGCTCTGAAAAAAATAGAGAAACTATGTTAAAATCATTTATCGAAGTAGAAAGAGCAGAATAATTTTTCCTTCGTTTCTGCTAAATTATTCTTCATTCCTAGGAAGTAATACTCTTATTGTAATAATTTTTCTATTTTGAATTTTTTAAATATTTATTTATGTATTATACATATTCAATAATATATTAAATTTGTAAATTGATCTTCCAATATTCATATACTTCAAGTAATTAATTAAATCTTTATTACAACTGGAAATTTTCTAATTACACAATTTGACAAAAATATTTGTAAAATATTAAAGTTGCCAGGCTTGGATAAAAAAAGCTATTTACATAAAAACACACCGTTTACATTTCCAGCTACTCTCTTTGCTATGTATATGTGTGTATATACATAATACATGGGTCAGAAATGTTTGCAATTAAAACACCACTCCGCCATATCCTTCGAGTAATTAATTATCCCGCATTTTATCTAAGAACGCCAAATCTCCGGATTTAAAACGACGGAGACGATGTAAGAGCGCAATGCATTGTTAAAAAATGTGCATTTCATAAGAATTCATGTTTCTACAACGCGCAAAAAACCGCCAGCACGCATAAATAAAGCGCAGAGAAAAAAGAAAAGAGGACCGTCAAAACAGAATTAACGAAATAAATAAATTTAAATATTTTCACGTTTCGTTATCGTATTCACTCGGAAGAGAAAAACGAAATTAAACTGCTCTCCCGCGGCGTTCCCCTCTCTGTTCCCATTTTTGGCTAACCTCTTGACGAATATCCTTTGTTAATTTTCCCCTGGACGCGCGGTTTACGGTGGACAGCCGGCGAAACAAAATAAGGCGGTGCGCAAAAATCACGGCGATTTAGCAGCGCAATTTAATGCTGTAAATTACCACGGACAAAGAAACGCAGCGGGGCAACGGTTGGCTGCTATTTGCTCCACGCGCTTCTCCCCGCAGAATCTGCGCTAAAATCTTGCCTCGATTTTGCCCCCTTTTGCACGCTCGCTTCTTTCATTCGGAAAAGCTTTCCTAGAACTATTTTCCCCTGTATTTCGCGCTCGAGCTTTCTCCCTCTCTCCCTTTCTATCTTTCAGGGTGCGAGCGGCTTTTACGAGAAGGATTAGATGGTGCAAAGATGGTCGTAAAGGGAAATTTCGTCGAACGTGTTTGCTCGTTCTTATTCCCTCTGAAGCTAGATAACGTCGCGGAGGAATCTTGTACACAATAGAGGAACACGTGTTCGAAATCGTATCATGCATAGTACTTTCAGTGCGGGAAAGTTCAATTAAATTTTAGATGCTGCAATTTATTCTATTTCACACTGAATAAATCAAGGTGTGATTAAACTCGCGTACCGGTTCCGCATTTAAGCATCGAACATTACGCGACCCGAACATAGTGTATAAAGTGTACTCAGGAGCAGGTAGCATTAAACTGAAATAAAAATTGACTTACGCCAGCTTATGTTATAGGAATATGCAGGCCTATCTCGTTCTGACTTTAGCGAAGCAAATATGTTCTCTGATCGATTGTACTAACACGTTTGCTAATTATACATATTCATGATTAAACTTAGGTCAAATGTAGGATAAATGGAGTACATATTTGAGAAAAGAAACGTAACAGTACGAGATTATGTCAATGTTTTATTCGAAAATAAATTTGATTCCTTTTATTTTATTTTATTTATAAATTACTAAATTTCTTTCTCTTATTTATTTCAAAATAAAGATTTACACGATCTCTTCTAAATTTATTTTGAAATAAAAGATTTCGACGTTATGCCACATTATTTACAAAATGCTGAACGGATTTTCTTTAACAGATATAAATCTTTTGTAAATTTTCAAACAGATATTTCGATGTTCGTTATTTATCGATCATTTTTGTTAGTACTCTGCTAAATCAGCTGTAATAATTCGTGAATGTTACAGGTAATATATTTTCACGTGAACTTTCAGTTACCATGTTTCAATGTAAATTTTACGAGCAATTGACTTCGCTTAAATCGACGTGGTTTAGATAGTTGCGGATCACTCAATCGTAACTTTAGTTATTTTGCGAACCCCGAATTGTTTGCGATGAATTTTCGTTTAATGTGCCGGTGATTGTGTACTCGCGAATAAAATGTATTAATAGCACTTTAGTGTTTGAATATAATATGTTATCAATTATTTCGAATCATTAATCGTACGAGTGTAACTTTGTAGCAACCACGATGCTTGATTTATAATACACGCGAATCGTTGGATGTTATGTCACACCTAATTACGAAATAATGGAATAATACGTAGAAATATTGGTACATTTTATAAGAAATTCGCAATCATTTCTGCGAACCATGTATTAGAGAAATAATAGAAAAATAGGGTAATTTATGTAATATAAAGTGTAGAGTACTGTAATAGAAACTTTAATTTTTTTCAATTTCACATTATTACTAACTACTAAACCAAATCACCAGAAAAATTTTCAATATTATTATTGAAGTAAACTTTCGTAGAACGAGAGTGAAAAATTGAAAGAATCAAAAGAAAAAACGCGAATTCGTATCTTTTTCGATTCTAGAATATAAGAAAATTTGAATAAAATACGCGACGAGAATTGGGGAGAAGCATAAGTTACACGTGTAAAAATATTCAATACTAAACGAACTAGGAATGAAGCTGTTATTTCAATACGCGATGCACTGACTCTAGTATTTACTAAAATTCAAAAATTCTCGTATAAATTCCGAAAATAGATTATTAATTACGGTAAACAACTGAGACGGTTTAATTAAGGGTGGGCATGGTGCTGCTTTAGTTTGAAATGATTTATAAACACATAATTAACAGAGGAAAAACCGTGAAACGGCAAAACGTCTACATTCTAATTGTTATAACATGTAAACAGAACTTTAAATTTAGTGTAAACAGAAAAAATATATAATACAATTTATTTCACGGTATTGCAACAAATAAACGTTGAATCAATATTTAATTCGTATAAAAACAATTATTTAACGTAATAATTTTACCTTCACTATGGCTATTTTTAATCTACGACCACAGGTCAACCTGATTTCTAATCCTTACGAACTTTAAATTCAGTCGAAACTGAGAAAATATATAATACAATTTATTTCACGGTATTGCAACAAACAAACGTTGAATAGATTCTTAATTCGTATAGAAACATTTATTTAAAATAATAATTTCACCTTCACTATGGCTATTTTAAATTTACGACCAAGGGTCAACCTGATTTTTAATCCTCCGAACTTGATTTCACAACGAGAAAGTAATAAGATCGTTGAAACGTACTTATTTGTCAAAGAAACTTGCAAAAATGTATAAATAATAATATGTAATGTTTTAACAAATTTTTGGAAGTATAAATTAATAATAAAATTGTGAAAATTAATAAATTATACGTTATTATAACATTAATAGAATTATGACTAAACCGAAGTTCGAAGTCGAGTATTTAAAGTCTGATATTACGTGCCTAGCGAGTGCCGGTAATTGTTAAAATTTGTTTAATAATTAGTAATAGAAATTCTAATTGATTCTAATGTATACAAGTGTTACAAGAAGGCTGAGTGTGTACAGGGTGGACATAGACTAGCTAGTAGCCCCCGACCACTCTATTCACATCTCAGAACCTTCAGGTCAAAATACGCCGCGAAGTGTCTAGGGCCCAGTATAAAGGGTAAATGATTTCGCGGGACATCGGCGGGTCCTTATATACCTGCGGTACCCTCTCCCCAAAGTCATTAGCAAAATCGTCGGTTAGGTCAGGCGGGAAATTTTCGCGGGAGATTTTCGCGGGAGATTTCCGATATCGTAACACGGTATAATTTATCAATTTTCACAATTTTATTAAAAATTTATACTTCCGACAATTTGTTATAACATTGCATATAACAATTTATACGTTTTTACAATATTCTTCAATGGAAACATAGGTTTTAGCGTTCTCGTTACTTACTCGTGGTTAAATTAATTTCGTAGGGATTAAAAATCAGGTTGACCTGTGGTCGTAGATTAAAAATAACCATAGTACAGCTAAATTTATCGTGTTAAATAATTCTTCTTACACGAATGAAAAATGTATTCAACGTTTGCTTGTTACAATACCATGAAATAAATTATTTGTGCAGTTCTGTGCATTTTCTGTGCAGTTCAACCTAATTTACTTAAATTTACATTGCGAGACAGTATACTGTAACAAGTAGTAACAAGCAAACGTTGAATAAATTCCTAATTCGTATTAAAAAAATTATTTAACACAATAATTTCAGCTTTATTATGATTATTCTTGATAAATGACCACAGAATTCGCGTTTTTTCTTTTGATTCTTTCAATTTTTCAATTGCATTACGCATTATTGCAATAATTTCTATCGTTACATTTGTATGTATTCAACGTTTGTTTGTTATAATATCGTGAAATGAATTATATTACACATTTTCTCTATTCACACTGAATTTAAAGACTATAACGATTGAAAATCAAGTTGACCTGTGGTCATTTATCAAGAATAATCATAATAAAGCTGAAATTATTGTGTTAAAAAAATTTTTTAATACGAATTAGGAATTTATTCAACGTTTGCTTGTTACAGTACCATGAAATAAATTATATTATACGTTTTCTATATTTACACTAAATTTATCGTTCTATTTACATGTCATAACAATTATAACTACACGTTATGCTGTGTCCGTTTGTTTTTTCTGTGCAGTTCAACCTAATTTACTTAAATTTACGTTGCGAGACAGTATAATATTTACAATTCTGCCTGAATTTTTGAAATTCAGAAAAACACAAGTAAACTTCCATTGCATTTAAACGATATTGTCCACCAAACTGGGCAAAGTATGTACTTCTTAACCGAGAATATTTCAATTATGAAATTCGAACAATGAAAATGCTATCTCCAAAGTTTCACATTGCAC